GCTGTGGAGAGTGAAGAAAACACATTAAGACAACTGCAGTTGAGGTTGTCAGTTGGCAAATTTAAAGAACCACTCAAAAAAAAAAAAAAACGATATTTAGAAGTTTCCGATAGAAATGCTCAAATTTCTCTGATCTCAGATGAAAACTTCGAAAAGGTAAAAAAAAAGAGTCTATAGAATATCTTCTATGCGAATACAAGACTTTGCGTAGGAAAACAATCGCAACTATCGGTCAAGTGTTGCTTGACGATGTCTCGGGAGTTGGACACATAAAACTTTTTGTAATGATAAACTTTCAATGGAGCACAACGTGTTTCAGAGAGGACATAATAGAGTAAGGCGATTGTAGTCGCAGCAGTTTCACAATGAACGCCCTAAAAGTCAAAACACGTCGTCAGACATCCATTCTACCTAGCTTACTACCTAATCTACAATTAATGGAGGGTGAAGTCAAGAAATTGCTAATAGTTTTTTGAAGATATAGATCTAAATATAGACAGTACAAACTTTACGGATTGTGAATGTTCTCACGAAAATTTTGAAGTCGGTGTAATCGGAACGGAGCCAGATTATATACCGACCAGGGACTGTTAACTCAGCAGCACTAAATTAGAGTATGTTTTTTGCCACTAGAATACACAATAAGCCACTAGAGTACATAACAAGCAGTTTGGAATTCATTAGCGAATGGAAGAGAGTATTTCCGTAAAAGCTTAAATAACTGTAAATTAGCCACTTCAGCTACTTTTGTGATTGCTTTCATGAGAGTGGAATCACATTTGATAAAAGACGCAATCAAAATTGTAAATTTTAGGCAGAAGCTCTAACAGTACAGCGATTTAGAAGAAAAAGAGACGACAAGAAACACTGAAGATTCTATTGAATGAAAATTACAAAGAATTGTTAGACAAATTTTCACTACTTTCAAAAACAGCGTCATTTCGCATACTTTATACAAACAATTCAAGTGAATTGTGGAGAGCACAAAAGCACAATCATGTTGCTGCATTTTCAAAAAAAAGCTCAAAGATGGCAAGACAGCACATTAGTCCGCCAAAAAAACATACAGTTTGCCATAATTTTAGTTCACTAGTAATTGTGTGTGTGGTTGCAGGCCACTTCAATGGCTGGCACGCAATTATGACGCCACAAGTCCCATCTATACTACATATGGATATATGCTAACGCATTTGCCACCCACCAATGGACGCCACACTGCGGCAGTAGGCGGCCAGTCGCCTGCTTTTAGCAAGTCGCCGTTGGCCGCAGGTCAGCACGCCACTTGATGACGCCACAATGGACCAGCGGCAGTGGTCTTTGCCAAAGGCTCGAGCAATTTAAAAAGCGCCCAGTTACCAAATACACCTACAGACGCACTCACATATATTATATGTATGTGTGTGGTTGTTGCAAAATTTCCTGTGTTTATGTTTTCTTTCTACCGCTTTAATTTTGTTTAAACAATTACGCAAATTTTCGCTGTATTTATTGTTTTTGTGTTTTTTCTTGTTTTATTTTGCATAGCAAAAATTTTTCGTTTATTGTTTTGCGGCATTTGTTACTTAATTTCTCAAGAATTTCCCGCAACAAACACAAACAAAAAAGTAAAATCAATAATTGCGGTGCATAAATGTTGTTATTTTCGTATTAAGCGGAAGTGGAAACAATTAAATGTTGCCCCAGTTCGTGAAATTTACTTAATGAAATGTTTTGCTGGATATTTGCAAATCTGCTTTAGATTTTTGTGCGTTTAATTTTTCGGTGTTTTTGGATTAGTTAACTGCAGGAGATGCTGTCGGCTTGATTTGTAGAAATTTCAAGCTCTATACCGAAATAAAATTAAATAAAATTATGTATTTTAAGAGACTTCCGCCATAAACCTTAAACGTTCCTTGATAATTCGACATCGCATTCTTTATATGTTATGACTTTACTCAAGTGAATAGCCGAGAAATGTTAAGCATATTGTTATGAAAATTTTTTAAATGTACTTTTTCTTAACTAAGAACCTTGAAATAATATTATATCCCTTTAAAGTTGTAGTTTAGGGTCTTATTATGACATTATTGTCAGATTATTTTTACCGATTTTCAGTTGTCAGTTTCTAAACGATAATTTGAGACCATTAAAATGGAGAGAGTATGGAGCCGGTTTTTAAATAATCACTCAAGAACTTTAATATAGATGGTATCCACGCCACTATTCTTTTCCATATTAAAGCTCTCGGGTGATTATTTAGAAACCGACAATACTATGATAGACAGAATATGATAAGTAAGCCTAGTAAAACTTTGTTTTTCTGAGATGCATTATTACAAATGATCTCTGAATAGGAACCTAAATGTCATACAATTGAGAGCTTTTAAGTTAACACCACTAACACTTGGCATAAAACTAACTTGAGAAAATGATTCGTTGAGAAATTCTGTAAAGCATACTTCTTACAGTTGGTCTTTCATGCAACACACATATGGTAAATATATTTGGATTTGAATTTTAGGCGTATTAAGCCAAATGGAGATATCGAGCCTTACGTCAGCCTGCCATCTATAGTTCGTTTATTTAAAACTTATTGCATGAAAATATATTCTCACATAATACTTTCAAAACGATGATCCATTTAACGGGACCTTTTTTTGTTTTATCATTGAGATGTTAGGTTCGGTTAGGTCGTAGAGCTGATCGCCACAACAAATATAACGCGGTATCCCACTTGGACAACCGTGAACGCTGTTCTATTGTGAGTACCAAAATTCCTAGACCTGGATAATCAGACCTTTGTAGATCGGCGAAGCGTTTTAAGTCTGCCACAAATATGTAAAGCCGGCTAATATCAATCCCCGTCACGTTCGTTGTGTTTACCGAGATATTTCAACCTCATGCCGGCAAAAAGGTAACAGTTAAGAAAAAAGGGTCTTATTGGACAGTGTCCCAGCAGAACAACTACCATAGCGGCGAGATGAGCTAGTAGTTCAGAGGAGCTCTTGGGCTTCATTCTGGAAAAAATATATTGGAGTCGCACAAATTGTTGTTGTTTTGTTAGAAGATTTTTCAAATATTCCCGATTTTTCTTTGCTCTTTTTAAGTCTTCCAAAGCAGCGCTCTCGCAGTTCTCTCAGTTTACAGTAATTTAAATATATTATATTATATATAGGCCCCATAGCCTACGAATCTTTGTACTATGTATATATATTATATATATACTTGTATATAGCTCCTGACAAAAAGCGCACTAATTTTAGCTGACAAATCACACTAACAGAAATAACTGCAACGGCGATCCCCAAACTATGCGTGAAGCGTAAACAAAATAATAACAACAATCTGCTTTTTTTATGTTTTACGAAATAACATACATAAAAAAGTCGTTGATACTGAATTATAGCAAATAATTAAGCGATTTTCATATGATTTCCGACAGCTTAACAAAAAAAAAAAAAAAATAAATAAAATCAGCAATTAATGCAAGACACTCAAAAGCTTCGAAATTTGTGACACTTGAGGCATATGTTGCAATTGTTTTTGTATTTTACATTTTTTAGTGTTTTTATTTTCAATATTTCTCTTGCATTAATCGCCTTGCTTACGCGGCTTGACATTGTCACTGGCGAGTGCAAGCGAGTGTTGCCGCCAATTAAGTGCAGCGAGCGCAGCAGCGGCGGGCGCCCACGCGCTATACATTTTTTTGATTTATTTTTATTTTTTTGATTTTTTTTTTATAAAAAGCTGGTGGAAATAAGTGCTCGATGGCAGAAGTTTGTGAGTGTGATATATGGCGGGCCACAACAGACGTTCATCTGTGTGCTTATTGCTTATAAAATATTTTTATTTATTCGTTTGTTTTTCTGGAGGGTGTCGAGAAAAGACGTGCAACTTATGAGATTTAGCTGACGAAGAGTGGCTTATTAAGCGATTCCTTTGATTTTGGGCAAAAGGCAAAGGGTGCATATAAATTCCTTGTGACAGGTTTGAGATTTTTTTTTTGTTTTTAATTTTATATGTACATATATACATTAAAGTATGTAAGTAATTATGTCGCTAAAGCTTTAACTAGAGGGTGTCTAAAGTTTTGGAAAATTTTTTCTACATTTCCAAAACTCTGTTTTTTCACGCTTGTGTTATTTGGAGAATATAAAATTGTATATATAATTCTAAAAAAAAATTCTAAATTCTAAAATTAATAATTATTTTTTTATAGAATTGAGTCAGATATAAACAGTATTTTTTATTTCTCAGATTTCTTTTTGAAAGTAAAAGTAATACTTTTTACATATATAGTACCCAAAATACAAAATTACAATTTTTTTTTAATTGAAGTTTAAAAAAGTGTAATTTTATGAGAAATTAAACACTTCCTGACAATTCGTTCAACTGTACCAATTTTTTTAAAACTTTTATTTTTGGTTTTTGTTTTTTAAAATTGGTTTTAAGTTAATTTTTTGTTTCAAATTGGGGCTTAAAAACTTTTAGGGGTTTTTGAAAATTTTCAATAATTTTTTTTTCGTAAAAAACATTTTTTTCTAACAAATATAACTTATTTAAAAAGATTGTAAACAAATTTATAGTAAAAATTTATATTATGATTGTTGTTTAAAATTTTTTAATTTATATGGGTAAAGTTTCTAATAATTACTTTTCCGAGTTTTAAAAAAATTTATTTTTTATAAAATAGAATAGAATTTTATTGTTATTTTATTTTTATTTTTACTTAAGAAATTATTTTAATGCGTTTGTTCTTCTATAATTTTAAATTTTATTTTTTTTATACAATTTTTATAATAATTTTTTCAATTTGTATATTTTTTCGCTCTTTTAGCTTTTATTAATTTGTAATAAATTTATGAGAGTTTGGGTATCGTTCTCTTTATTTATTTCAGTATATATTTTGTTTTGCTTGGTTTATATATTTTTTTGATGTCAAATATTTTTTTAGTTTTATTTTTTTTTGTAATTTTTATTGGATTGAATTATGTTGGAAATAATTGTCATATGTCACTCACCTGCCGATTCATTGCAATTCACTTCGAGCACCAACAGCGCCAAAAGCAGCCAAGTAATGTGATAAGCATCCTTTCGAGTTGCCATATTTATTGATTTGAAGATGCCGTTAAAGTAACTAATTACGTGTTATTTGCCGGAAGAGCAAAAGCTCAAATTTAATTGTAATAAATTTCAAAATTTTTTTTAAACACGGCTTTAAATTTTTTTTATATTTTTATTTTTTTTTCTTAACTTTTAGTTTATGAAAAATTTAGCAGCTTTAACACTTTTGCATTTTACACTAACACGCTCAGTCGCACACGTTTCACGTCAGTGTCAGCATTAAGACACTACTTGATCGAGCGAAAATATGATTCTTATTGAATTTTTATGGAATTTCGCAAGCGAGTAAATCAAACGCCAATTGAAATGACCTCTGGCGCTTAGGTGTTTGCTTCTCACTCTTTTCGACGCGTTTTGCCTTTGCACTTGCTGCACAAATTCATTTATTACTGGCGTTTGTTGATTTCTGTTTGATTGCTTTGCCAGCGTTTTGTTTGCTCGCACGAGGTTTGTTTGCCTTTGTGTGCCGAAATTTTTTGCGCTATGCTTTTTGCTTGCGCTTCCTCTCTCGCTTTTCGCCTATTAATATTTGCTAATAAATAAATTAAAGCAAGCGTGTCGGCAATAATAAATATATTTTATGTTATTTTGCTTGGCAATTGAAAAATACTTTGGCACTCACTTATGGATTTATTTAATTTGCACATGGAAACAACTATTTCTTTTTGCTGGTTATACATACACATATGTACGTACATATACTCGTATATGCTGGGGTTTGCACTATGATTTGTAATTGTTATATTTCATACACATATTTTTGTTGTAGTTTGGTAGACGCTCTGGCTGCAAAGAGACATAAAATGCGAATTAGAAGTGATTATGGAAAAAAAATTATTAATAATTAGAACTAGAAAAAATAAAACAAATTTTATAAAAAAGTTTAGCAATTTTTTATTTAATTTTTTTGTTTATTTAAATATACTTTTTTTTATATAATTAAATTGATCAAAAATATTTGCTTGGTCACACTGAATTAATTAAAAGTGATTATCGAACAAAATATATGAAAATTAAAACCAAAAAAACAATTAAAAATAAAACATAAAATGTTATGATATTTTTTATTAATTTCATTTTGTATACCTATTTTTTATTCATAAAATTTTTTTTTCAATATTCTACTTGGTCACACTGTTGTTATTAGAAGTGGTTAATATAAAAAAATATGTTAAAAATTGACACAAGAAAAAAATTATATAAACACTTTAATATATTTTTTTTGTGTATACTTTTTTTTTATTTATAAATTAATTATTTTTAAATATTTTCACCAAAAACACTCTGATATAATTAGCAGCGATTACAGAAAAAAAATTTTAAAAATTAAAACAGAACTTTATTATACATTTAATTTATTTTATTTTTACAGTTCTTTTAATATGTTTTTATTTTATTATTATTTTTTATTTAAAAATATTTTTTTTTTATAATTTTCTTGCTCACACTGAAAAATATCTTTTAAATATAAAAAGAAAAGAAAATTATATAATATTATATATTTAATTTTTTTTTATATTTATATATATTTAAAGTTTTTTTTATTAACAAATTAAATGTTTTTGAATATTTTCTTGGTCACACTAAAAAAAAAATAATGTATTTTTAAAATAAAAAAAAATTGCATATAAGTTTTATATTTCACAAAAATTTATGTAAATATTTTTAATTTTGTAAACATATTTTTCTCGGTTACATTAAAAAAAACATTTAAAATAACAACAAAAATATTTACTTACAGTAAAACTTTATTATATGTATTGTTACTTTTATAGTTGTATTTGTTTAAAATTTTTTTAGTAAAAAATTAATTTTATACTAATATTTTTTTTTAGTATGACTGAAAAAAAAATGTTTACAAAGTAAGAAAAGTATTAACGTTTAATTAAATTTTATATTTTTTTATCGATCAAATCAAATTAATTAAAAATTAAATATTTTTTATACTGTTTTTGTAAAAAAATATATTTGTTATAAATATTTCTAACATATGTACTAAATTTTTTTTGAAAATTTTGTCAGCTACTTACGTTCTACCTACAATTTGCATGTGCCCACAAAACCTTCACTTTTATAGCCAAAAAAAAAATACTCTCCTCAAAGCGAAACTGAATTAAGTCATTTATTTAGTCTAATCTCCCCTGTCTCAAAACGAGGCTCGTAAAATTTGTTGACTTCTTGAACCCTACAAAAACAATTAAAGTGATAACAAGCCACAACAACAACCAAATATATAACAACAACAAAGTGTGCTAAAACAACAAATTTCTGCAACAAAACTACAACTCATATGTTAAATGAGAACTCATGCAAAGCGATCATTAATTTTTGCAAACTGATAACCAAAGCAGTAAATATCAGGAAATTTATTTACGAAAATTGTTCGACAAAAATCTGTTTGACCTTTGACGCCGCGCCTGTCAATCACGACAACACCAGCACGCCAAATTGATAACGGCGAAAAATGGCGAGCAAATCGGCAGCTGTACAACAATGAAAGCAATTTGTTGCTGCCAAAGTATGCCTTTCATCTAGCCGCATGTGCGCTAACTGTAATCATTTGTTGGCGTTCAATGACAACAAAAAGTGTGCACTGTAAAAATTGTATGTAAATGGTTTGCAGTTAAATGCATATTACTTTGTATACCATATGTGTGAATATGTTTGTATGTAGGCAAGTAAATAATTTTTTTTAGTTCATAATATATTTTTTAGTAATTTGATCTTATACAAAAAAAAATATTTATTGAAAGTAACAATTATTATTATTTTGCGCTAAAAAGGGTACATTAAGTTTGCCACGATGTTTGTAACACCCAAAAGGAAACGGCAGAGACCCTATAAAGTGTATATATAAATAATCAGCATGATGTGCTGAGTCGAGTCTCCCAGTTTTTGAGATATCGATCTGAAATTTTGTACACCTCCTTTTCTCTCACAGAAGCTGCTCATTTGTCAGAATCGCCAATATCGGACCACCATACAATATCGGACCTGCCATACAAACTGCACGATCGGAATCAAGTGCTTGTATGGGAAGGTTTTTTAGTTGACAATATAACTTCCCAAAACTTGGCACAGATTATTATTTGAGCTAGCACTAGAGTCTCCAAATAAATTGTTGAGCTCGAACCACTATAGCAAAAAGTTGCCATAAAAACTGACCCTTCCGAACTAAGTTTTTTAATGAAAATTTATTGCTTTGGCAAGATATCTTGTAGTGCAATTGTGCGGTGCAACGGTGCAATCTCTGATTAAATTGTTCAGATCGGATGTCTTTAGCATATAGCTGACATACAAACTGACCGATCAAAGTTCTGGTAAGGATTCTTTTGTATTTGTGTAGGGTATTACAGAAGTATTTTTCTTATTTGAATGGAGAATAAAATTTTTTTTAAATATTTTTTTTTATAGAAATATAGTTAGTTCGTTATATTTTTTTTGTCAAATAATTAGTTCAGCAAATTTTTTGTCATTAATTTATAAAAAATATGAAGTTTTTTTCGTAAAAAACATTTCTTCTGCATAAAAAGTGTGCGTCTAAATTTTTTGTGGATAATAATTCATTTTTTTTTTGTTGTCCTTGTAGCTTTAATTTTTATAAAAAAGTTTTTAATTATTTTAATTACAAATAGCTTTCGCCCTTTTTGTTTGTTTGTTTATGTTTATGTTGTTTCTAATAATTATAGTTTTTATAAAGAAAATACTTGCCATTGGCTTAATAGTATTTTTTTTTTGAGCAAATGTGTTTTTTATTGAAATTTATTATTTGTACTTAATAAAATATATTTTTAAATATTATTATTTTGTTGTTTACTTTTGTTTGACATTCAAGCAAATTTTTTTTATAAAAATAATGCGTGACTGTTCATACGACTTTTCTTAGCTATGCTTTTACATGCTTTTTTAATCAGTTTTTATTTCTTTACAAATAAAATTGTGTGCATTCAACGCTTTACTGTTTGCCACTTAGTTACGTACATATGTAAATATGTGTGTGTGTGTGTGTGCGTGACCATATTTTTGATTTTGCATAATTTTTCTTGCCAATCTGCGCCACGCTCTGCGTCAGTGGCAACAAATTGTCGCCATCGCCGCGCTGTCAGCCACTTGTACAGAGCACACAAATTAGTTGCCGTTAGACCGCAATTGTGTATGTAAATGGTGGTTGTTGTAGCTGCTGTCACACAAGCAAGTGCATTGCACGCCCGTATTAGACCAGTTACTAGAAAATACACACACATCACACATATATTTATTTGATAAGCATTTCGCATGCGTTGCCACTGTGGAATTTCAAGGTTAACGTGTGTGAAAATATTTTTGCATGCATTTTTGATTTAATTTTGTTGATTTTCTATTTAAATACTAATTTGCTTGAATGCAGCAAGCGCGCGCGACTTTTGGTTGATTTACAAATTTTGTGTGTTTTATTGTAATTTCAAAGCAGAAATAGAATGAGCAGGTTTTCAAACATTTTTGTATAAATTTTATTGCCAAATATGCGGTGGCATGCGGCTACCTGCCGCCATTTTTTACATGCTTTATATATTTGCGTGGTAATTAAGAACTAAATTATTAACGAATTTATGACTTTACTAAAACTTTTAAAGTGCAATTGGCAATATTATTGCGTATAAAAAACAATCGCGCTTGATAACACCATAATTACTCTTTATAGCATTTCTTAACCTTAGTTCTATTTAGTTATGACACTTTTTTGAGGTTAGGAAACGCAAAACAAAAAAATTTTTGTTCGAAAAGCTTTGCATATTTTCTTAGGTTCCTGTTACAAACTTTTCGCATCATAATATGTTAGCTGCCAAACACACCTTAATTGACACATGAATCCCATAAAAAATAAGTTTGACTAAACATTTTTGTAACAGATGTCAAACAGTTAAATTGCTTTCAAACGGCTCTACAGTGCCTTTTTTAACGTCTCGATGGCTTGCGAAGCTAGAGCGCTTACTTTTCGCCCACAAAAAAATTGCAAAAAAAGAACGAAAGAAATTAATATTTTTGCGTAAAAACCTGAATTAATTGTATAGCATATATTTGTATTTGTATTTGCATTTAGCAATTTGCATATTATTTGTCGCTTTAAAGTTCGCTTTTAATGAAACGGAATGCAGCCGTGGCATATTATAAGTCAAAGTCGCTGTGTGTCGACACACAGTGGCGCAATTCAATTCAAAGTGAATGCCACGCGAGTGAACGGAGCGTAAAAATTACAAATAAGAAATTAAAAAAACAGGCCAAAAATAAAAGGAAAAAACAATAAAAACACGATTAGTAAGAAATTGCAAAAACTTGGCAGCTCCAGAAGTTACGACTAAAGGTGGCTGCCGTATGTGTCTAGTGGTTATGCCATGCGACGCTGTGGTGGCGCTTAACACCCTGAAGCAATGCTTCGTTCGTGCGTTAAAAAAGTCGGTGCACAAGATTTGTCGCCACCAAAGCGACTGCTGATTTATATGCGAGTGTCTATTTGACAACAACTGGCTGTCATGAATATGCATGTGTGTGGCTATTACGCGAAGGGAGTGTGTATACAAGTTATATCCATTTATGTATGTATGTATGTACAATTGTGTATGCCTGTGTCTATTTCGTTTTCATTAAATGCTCACTTCTATGCCGCCGCAACGGTAATGAAATGGAATGAATTGTGACATGCAATTGTGGCGCACACATATGCGAGCTCAAAAGGCACCTTCTCCCCGCCCGTCAATGAATCGCCAAAGGCAACACTGTCAACGCTAAGTGTTTGTGGCACTTACGCA